GGCACAGCCCCGCCGCGAGGCCCGTGCGCGTGTTGTTGAAGAAGGACACGTGCGCAGACGGGAAGTGCGAGCGCAGCGCCGCGAGCGCGGCCGGCGTGGGCAGCGCCGCGGATGGGGACTCGCGGGCGTCGCGGGGGACGTCGTGCAGACCCAGGTGCAGGAAGAGGGTGGTGGGGTAAGGGGAGAGAGGCCCGAGTAAGTGGCGGTGGATGGACTGGTGCACGGCGGGGTGGAGGAGCGTGCGTAGGTGGCCGGTGATGCAGACGGCGACGCGTTCGGAAGGCGGGTAGGAAGGGGGCGGGGTCGGGGAGGGGGTTTGGCTGGGAAGGGCGTGGGATAGACCGGTGACAACGCTGGGCGAGAGGGTGGGCGAGAGGGCGGGCGAGAGGGTTGGGGAGGAGAGACGGGCTTTCCAGTGGGCCGCGTTGAGGTGGAGCTGCAGAGCAGCAAGCAGCAGGAAAGCGGGGAGAAGGAGTAGGTAGAGGCGCGGGTGCGGCATGGTTGCGGCTTGTTGTCGGGCATTGCGGGAAGAACGGGCGGGTGGTTTATGTGCAGGACGGGTTCGGGATGGGGTGAACTGACAATGACGGGCGGATGTGAATTTAGATGGAGGCGATGGTGTCGCGGTACCTCGGTCAAGGGTCCCGACAGTACACGTTGCAGACGTGGCATAGTGGACGATTGGGTGTTCCCAAATACACTGGCCAAAAGAAAACAACAAATGGAAACCCGCCAAGTGTGCACGGCGCGTGTGTCCAGAGGGTGATCCCGCCGCAGCACACCCTCAAAGGTTTCGCAACCTTGACCTCGTTCTATCACCGCCATAAGATACCCCTTGTCCAATGTCCGCCTTCCTCGCCCCCGCCTTCCTCGCCCCCGCCTTCCTCGCCCCCGCCTCCCTCCGCACGTCCGCCCGCGCCCGCGTCCGCGCCCTCCCGCCGCCCGCTTCCGCGATGCGCCCCACAGGCGCCATCCAGAAGCCCCCTCCCCCGCGCCCGGTCTTCTTCCGCGCCGCGCTCGCCCGCCTGCGCCGCCAGCCGGCCCACCTGCGCCCGCGCGCCCTGCGCCACACCCTCTCGGCCCTCCTCTCCACGCTCTCGTGGTGGGTGCGCACGGGGCT